TGGATTGTCTGTGATGATTTGCTGTTCAAGGAAAGCCGTATTCTGATTCCGTCATTGCTCCGAGGAGAACTGCTAAAATACGTTCATTGAGCTCACCTGGGTGTTAAATCTACTATTAACCGAGCTAGATAATTGGTATTTTGGCCAGGATTGATGGGTCAAATAACCCACCATGTACCAAATTGGGTGGAGTGCCCTTCACATGAAATCCGGCAGAAGAGCGAACCAATGATGCTGCATGATGTCGCTGACCGACCGTAGCAGAGGATGGCGGTGCATTTATTCAGTGGTAACGGGCACGATTACTTACTCACGGTGGATTACTTTAGTGATTATTTTGAAATAGGTCTACTCACCACTGCGACCACAGAGGCAGTATTCAACAAGTGCAGATATTAGTTCGCGCGCATGGTATACCGAAGGAGCTGGTATCCGACAATGAGCTCCAATTTGTCATCGGCGTTCTCCAGGCCTTAGCAAGTAAGTGGGAATTCATGCATCAGCAAACCAGCCCATTTCAAAGTCAATCAAATGGAAAGGCGGAGTCGGCAGTGAGGCGGACCAAGCGACTAAAGATGACCCGTACTTCATCCTACTGGAGAATTGCAACACTCCTCCAACGAATATCAGTTTGGACTCAGTGCAGCGCCTATACAGCTGAAAGATTGGAACTCTAATGCCGGCACCTGCCACATTTTTGCGTCTAGTTTCGCCACAGCACGAAGCATTACAGAACACTGAGACGATAAATAACCACTCAGAAACGGTACTATGGCCGCGGTGCACGGGTACTACCTGAGCTAACAGTGGGGGAGGAAGTGTGGATTCAACCAGCACCCGGTAGTCATGAGCGGTGGTAGAAAGGTGTAGTGACTGTGCGGATCGGTGTCATGTCAAACGAAATAAACGTTGAAAACTTTCAGAAGAAATCGAGACCATTCGAGGCGACACCGCAGACAATAATGTTGATTGGGAGTGGAGTAGCAGATGTTCTAATGCAAGGAGCCCACGACCGCAGATAAAGCGAAGACGACAAGGAGTGGCAAGAACACGGAGAAAGAAGATGTGATGGGTGTCAAATCAGAGTGAGCAGATGGATCAACCGAGAGAACCAGAAAGCTAATGGGCTGCGGACATGGCGGATTCGATTACTGGACTCGGGTTGGCCGATATTCATGCGTGATTCACCGTTTGTTTAACTGGAGCGAAGGACGCACCTCATCGCCTCAGAAGGGTCTTTATGGACTTGAATCTGTCAATTATGTCGAGGACTTTGTCTTGATAAAACTGCTGTGATTTTCGCGGAGCTGTCTTTGCCGTATAGAAGCTTGTCCCTGAAGGACTGAGTTCTGCAACATGCCGGTGCGACCTAGGTATATCAGAGGGAATGCGAGGTAAATATCCTACTAAACCACCTATGGTTTTTACGTGCTTTGAATTGCTGGCGTGGTCATTGTTTATAAGTCAAATGCTGTTTTGACCTCGGCGTGGATCACGTGGAGTATGTCACGTGGAGTGTATTTAGGCTTTGCCATGAAGGTAAAATGAAATTACAGTTTCACAAGCAAGAATTTTCAAGAAATAATACTTGGACCTAGCACAGTACTTCAATCAGAGTTTTAGTTAAACCATATTAGTATGTTTGTGGCACAGTGGACAAGTCTGACCGAGAACGACGGCCAGTCCAATGCTCTTTGGAACACATATTGTATACTGGATTTTTACTCTAGTAGGTGGTGTCATGTATCCAATGAAATGGAGTTGTCAAATGTAAATACTGCTTTAATGTATGATCCTCCTCGATCAGCAGTTGAAGGCTCAGTGGGGCGTCCTGTTCATGAAAATTCAGTTACCTAGAATCACCGAGGGGTTTACGTGAGAAGCAAAAGACCGGAGGGGTATACTTGTGTTGATGACACACCGATACGTAAATTTGGAAACAACGCAATTTCCCAAACAGGGAATGTTCTCTAATATCCACCGCTGCGGTCAGACGTTGCGACGTGGATGTACACATGTGTTGAGGTGTGAAGGGGTTAAGTTTCTTTTGAAAAGGAACGGATGCAGTTTGCTGTTCCAATGATCATCCATTAGCAAGGTCACCAGCTGTTAATTTTCTAAATTTTGCACCGCTAAAGCAGTCGTGATAGTGTGTGACTGTGTGTGAGTGTGTCCGTTCTTCCATACCACAGCCTGTTTAGTTGGGTATTAAGCCTACAATTAAATCTCGTGTATAGTTGAGACGAACGTGTGACACGTGGCCTGAAACATATAAGATGCAGTACTAATATCCATTGCTATATGCCAAGAGTATTAAAGTAAATGTTGGAACCGATTCAACTGTTGCGAGGTCACCATGGATTGAAGACGAACTAGGTTATTATTGCAATGAACAACAGTTAGATACAGGACAACTCAGCCAATTGTCAAATTTTTGTGTGACGTGTCACTTGGGGAGCCCGCGTCTGATAAATAAGTGTAGTTGGACCACGAGGTATCAAATTTACTCACCTAACGGTGAATATACGATAGGAAACCACTCAGGATAAGAACACAGCAGTAAGCACAGTGTCGGGTCGTCATTTCAAAGAAATGCGATGACGTCTGGCTTGCAGCTTGATTGGTTTTATGTTCAGGTATGAATTCATTGTTACAGTAACTTTGGCAAAGCTTACATTCGATGGTCAGCTCTCTGTGATTATGAGACATCCAATGCAGCATTGTATACTCATGTACTTGAGAGTTCATGGCACGGCTGTTCATGTAGTGAAAATACGAATGATGGCCAGAACGCCATCCACTTCTCCATTGAAATACCTTAATATTTATGTGAATCCAAAGTAATAGAACTGGGGGAATGGCGCAGGGAACCATGGTTTTCTCCTAACCGACTCACATATCCCCACCTGTAGGCGGGTGCATCCCATGAACTGCACTCCATGGCAGTGATGAGACCAAGAGTCTGCGCATACAAACTTACTTTGGACATCCCGGAACACAGTGGCACCAAAGTAGTAGAGCGAACACCGTCTCCTCAATGTGGTGTGTACCCGCATAGTGCACCGTTTTTCCGAGTGTCCTTTCCACCGTAGTTACAACATAAGACGCGCATTTGCGGAGATCTAGATGGGTGAATACAATGGAAATACTAGTTCGTTATTCTGATCCTTTGACCTTGAGAGAAGTTGCGTGCTAATCGCTCACTTGTGCACTCGTGATTTTTTAACTGTGGTTCAGCGACATTTTGTCGCACATCTTTGGATACATATTCATTCGTCGTGCTTTTACAAGCTCTACTTTGTGATACCAGTTTCCCGAGCATACCTCAGTGCATCCTACATGTACGCTGATTTCTAACTTCCGGGCCGTGTTTCGTCGATATCCAAGCGGCAAAAGTTGTCTACCTCCAATCATCGGAGACATTGTTTGGTCTCACTCGATAGACCATTTCAACGGCTTTCGAACGAACTGTCACTCGTTCAAATCCAACATTGCTCGGTGCAGCTGCAGCTCTCAAAGCAAATTCACCCGGCGCGATCCATAGGCAAAACCACGAAAATTCTCAATCACACCTTCGTGTATTCTGCCCCAAGTTCAAGCCGTCACATTCAACTGGCACGCCAGAGAGGACAGTATAAAAGTACACAACTGCAACGTGACCACTGTGACCTTACCGACAACGTCAATAGCAGAACGACCTTTTACCATAGAAGGTGAGTAAATCAAATGGTTCGTAACATTTGCTCAACAAGCGTGATACCCGGCGTGCCACAGACTAAAGACCTATGTGGATCATGTTCCAAACTTGTTAAGGGGGGCATTTTGTGCCGTAACTGTTGCAAGTTCTTCCATGCGAGATGCCTCAGAGTTCAACCTAGTCAGGCTAAGTTATTAAACAAACCAGACTCGCTATGGTTCTGTGTGGAATGCACATCGATCCCACTGATAAAAAGCATGCTCCTATTATCTCAGAAGTATGACCAGCTACTAGCGAAGTTTGAGGAAATGGTGACCACCAAAATCACTGGGGTTGGGGTAAGCATAGCAGACTGTGCAACCCAATCCTCTCCCGTAAGTGCTTCTCCTAACCCGCGAATAACTGTTAATAACACCGTAAGCAACACGACACCTAGAGTCCAGAACATCAACAGCTGTCCCAATACCACATGTAGCTCACATTTGACTAAAGCGGTTCCCAGTTCGATCGGAGTAACTACACGTAAGACTACTTCCAAACTCGCGACGGAGTGCGTAGAAAAAGAGCAAGCCGTTACGAGCGAAAGTTGGGTTACGGTTGCCTCCAAGAAGAGCCGTCATATAAAAGTAACATCACCCTCAACTGGATCGGAAACTGAGGAGCGTAGCGGAGTTTTCCAGGTGCAAGCACCACCGGTTTGCTGGGGTAAAACTCCGATTACTTCAATCACTAAACGCGACATGTCGAATTGTCTAAAGAAACAACTACCTGTACTGAGCGTACTGTGCTCCAATATCCCAGAATCAAAGTCGACATCGATAAGGGGCAGGCAATTGGATGACCTCAACCAGTGGGACATTATTAGTAACCTAATCGGTGTTGTACTTAAACCTGTACACGTAATGCGTATTACACGACACCCCAACTCTAAACATTTCGGAGAGCCGAGACTTCTGCGTGTTGTGCTGAACTCCATCACTGAAGTAGAATCAGTACTACTGTCGGTAGGTAGTCTCAGAAATGAACACTGCTCCATCCGTATCTTTCCAGACAACCCATGGGGCGAGCGTCATCGAGTTAACCGCACCTTAGCGGACTACCGGAAGGAAACTTCAACCAGAACCATACTTCTTCACGGGGTTCCTGAAACCGAAGCATGTGATCAGCATGAAATAACAACCCATGATAAAGGACAGTGGTGTTATATTCGTGAAACACTCCGCTTGGATGATGTGGTAGCGAAATCCGTGTCACTACTGCCTACCTCACCGAACTACAAAGGAATTGGACCGAGAGTGTTGAAGGTGGTCCTTCAGTCAAAACATATGGTAGCACGGATGTTACAAAGCTGGCACATGTTCCGTTGCAAGCTACCATCTGAGGTTCGGCTGAAGACAATCAGCGATATGCCTCCTAGAGATGATATGTCACTCAAAGAACCAAACGCGATGGGATCTATGAGAGAACAACGCACCAGTAGTGTGCCGAATGAGCCCATACAAACTGTAGAAGATGATAGTGACCAGACACCTTACACTGTACGTCGCAGATCAGATACGGGACTAACTACACGGATGATGAATAAAATGTTAAACCCTTCACCAAGCACACATCGAAAAAACGATTAGTCGCCGGCCACTCACTGGTCGGCGAAACTTCACATAGGAGTTGCAGAACCTCCGAAACATTGCTTAAATCTGCGAAACTTTCATGTATGTACACTAACGCCCAAGGGCTCCTCAGTAAAATTACCGAACTTCGACTACGTCAGGTTGCGAATGCTTGGGACCTAATTTCTAGTACCGAAACTTGGTTACACCAAGAGGTGACTGATGCTGAGGTTGAGATAGCCGGAATGTCACTCACCCGGAACGACCGCCCCAGCAGAGGAGGTGGGGTCCTACTCTACTACCGCAGCGATCTACAATGTACAACCGTTGATGATCTGGAAGCACACGTTACTGACTCATTCTGGTGCCGTCTCCGACTGAGACACAACGACACGTGTCTAGTAGCTGTCTTTTACCGCCCCCCAACGTCCACTCCGGAAATGGATTCCTGCTTGATCCGTGGCCTAAACAGAGTAACACGCACTAGGTACAGCCACATTCTCATCTCCGGGGACTTCAATCTACACAATCTGGAGGTTTCGGCATCACCCAGTGAGCAGTTCAAAGCAGACTTGCAGGAACTGATCGCTAATATTCCTTTGTACAATCATGTCACCACGCCCACTAGATTCAGGATAGCAAATAAACCGTCCATACTGGACCTTGTGCTCACGAATGAAGAGCTCATGGTTGACAAGTTATTGATGGATAGTCCATTAGGTCTCAGTGACCATGTAGTAATAACTTTTGACTATGTGTGTTATGCAGAGTATCCTTCTAAACACTCGGAACTAACTCATACAATCACACGCTATCACGTAATGAAAGAACTCGCCGACGCAACTGCTTGGGAATTCTCAAACAAAAGTCCCCTTGACAACGTTTGGGCAGAGTTCGTTAATAAACTCAGCGACGTCGTCAACAGAGCATCAGAGACCAAACCCCTTCGTCCCGCGAAAATGCCTTCAATTATAAGGAGTAGGACTCGAAAATGCCTGGCGATAAGGGATGCAGCATGGCATGCCTACAAGATTAACCCCGACTCAGAGAATTGGGAAAATTTCCTGACCCATCGCAACCATTGCACTGCACTTGTCCGTGAGGACAAAGTAACTTATCAACAGAGCCTAGCCAAAAAATTCATGGCAAACAACAAACTGCTATATAGGCATGTCAATAAGCTTCGTAAAGTGAAGCATGGATACCTCCCCTTTTCACGACAGGCCGTAGAGTACAAAGCGCCGAAGAAGCAGCTAATGCCCTGCGGCTTCAATACTCCCCAATCTTCGAACTCGCAACATCTACCTGTCCCATAATATCAAGCACATTACCGACACCTTTGTTTACAAAAGTTATTTTCAACCCATCAATTGTGCTAAGGAAGTTACTCTCACTGCGTGAGCATAGTTCTCCAGGAGCAGACAACATCCGCCCGAAGGCACTGAAGGCTACGGCCACCAAGCTAGCTGAACCACTGTCACAGTTCTTTCAAAGGTGCTTTGATGAACAACAAATCCCCACTATGTGGAAGTGTGGCATTATCACCCCTATTTTTAAAGGCGGTAGCCGTTCCGATGCTGCAAACTATCGTCCAGTGACTCTGCTCCCTGTGCTCGCGAAAGTGATGGAAGCAGTCGTCGCTGACACTTTAATGAAGTACCTAGAAAAATGCAACATTTTGGTACCGGAACAGCATGGCTTCCGTCAACACCGGTCATGCACTACAAACCTACTTATTGCACGAGGTAGTTGGACGGAAGTGGCCGTTGATGGGGTCGGAGTCGACGTCATCTATCTGGACTTCTCCAAAGCTTTCGACCGCCTCGATCACCGCATCCTACTGCAACGGCTTCAGAGTTACGGAATCGGAGATCCAGTACTTGGTTGGATTGGCAACTTCCTTTACCAACGAAAGCTCCAAGTACGTGTTAGGGGATCACTTTCTAACCCAATTGAGGTGGAATGTGGTGTCCCGCAAGGTTCAGTGCTGGGACCGCGCTTATTCCTGGTGTTTATCAACGACCTGGCAAGAGTCATCTCCTCAAACTTCCTGCTTTTCGCCGATGACGTCAAGATATGGCGGGCGATTGGTAACAAGCCAGATCAGAAGCTGCTCCAACATGACCTAGATTGCATTTACGAATGGTCAGAGAGGAACATGCTTCAATTGAACATAGCTAAGTGCAAAGTGATGCATCTGCGTCACCAGCCGGTGAGCGCTTACAAGATTGGAGACCACATCTTGGCGAAGGTTTCTCAGGAGCGGGACCTGGGTGTATTGGTACAGGAAGATCTCGGGTGTTCAAAACAAGCAGAGAAGGTGACGAGAACCGGCAATCAACACTTCGGCCTTCTTCGCAGAGCCTTCGGTCGGTTTGAACCCTCAATCTTCCCCCAAATGCTTAACGCCTACGTGCGACCTCACGTGGAATATGCTATTCAGGCGTGGCAGCCGTGGCAGAAACAGGATCTCGTTGCTCTCGAGACTCCTCAACGACGGGCAACCAAGAATGTCAGGGGCCTCTTTCATCTCCCCTATCAGCTTAGACTGAAATCTCTAAGAATCTACAGCAGTCGATATCGGCTTTTGCGGGGGGATCTCATAATGGTTTACCAGATTCTGAAGAACCCAAACCACATTTGCCGTCCGCTGCTGGAATTGAACCACAACACTAAACTAAGAGGTCACCCTCTGAAACTGACAATTCATTATAGCCGGCTTGAATGCCGTAGAAATTTCTTTTCTCTCCGCGTGTGTGAGCCTTGGAACGCCCTCCCTAATTATGTCGTCTCTGCTCCCAATCTGGCAGTATTTAAAAAACGTGTTGACGATGCATTGTCTCACTTACATTTCATTTTATGACTTGTTAGCCAGGGGCTACAAAACGCAATCAAACGATGTCTTGCCAAACGCCTAACCAATGGATTTATAGTTTTACATGTTTCATACGCGAACGTCTCCGCTATTCCGCATAAGTCTATGGTGAGTCCACCACAACACTTTTCCCTTTATCATGCAATTGATTTTCACAATAATTTTCCATCCTACGGGACTTGTTAAGCAACGCTTTTTACCCGTAATAAACCATTGTTCCATTGTTCCATTGTATACTTGCATAATAAATGAAGCTGCATGAATTCTACGTCTAGCTGAGTAATACTAACAGCCGCCACCAGATTTTTGATCCCAACGGGTGCCTATCGTCCAACTATTTCTCCGAAGTCAGCCGCTGACATACATATACAAAGCTCTGTGTCTTGGTGATGCAAATCGTCTTTCATTTCTTTACAGAAACGCACAATATAGATAGAATTTGTGTACTGTGGCAGATTTTTATGGCTGACGAGACGGCCAAACTGTTATATTTGTCAACTGGTTTGCATTGTGACCCATAAGGGGGACCTAGTTTTAGTAGTCAATGTGGCATTTTATTGGAATGTGGATGACTGACGTTTTCCACAGCCGTTGAGGGACAATGGGCATGCAGTTGGTTTGCATATGCGAAACTGCTGATGACATCGCATAAGAATTGATTGGTAAACGTGGTTCCGTTTTTATGGGCCTGTTTCTCATTCGAAAACCGTCACATACACGTGAGTAAACGTTAAACCATAGGGAAAATGGGCACATGCCTTCACCGCCACTTGTGCCTGACTGTTTGCTTTCGAGGTCAGGAAAATTATGCCTTTATCAAATTCACGAACAAAAGCTATTTTGAAGGTAGGAGGCAACCATTTTCGCTTTTGGTTATATCGTATTCCAGCATGAAATCACAAGTCTTAATTCATGCATCTGAATCCAGTCATGACTGCCGATTTCATATTAACAAATCTCTCTGCTGACCAGTAAGCTGTGCGTGAAATTTTGTACCGTCTTGCCTATGTGATTAGTTAAGTCGCCACCGAACAAAATGATTTGAGATGACCATTCTCATGAAGAATACATATGAACAACCATTTTGTCATCTGTTTTAACTGGGCACAACTGAGATGTTTTCAGAATCGGACCGATTTCCTAGAGCATACGACTTCTCATGCAGTTTTCGTTTATTGGAGTCAGATCGATCATAGAAATGTAATGTTATGTAACCTTTCAAGTTTGCGTGACAGTTTTGTCGCTCCCTTACAGTTGAAGTTTCACTTCAGGAGAATACCTTTGGTATGTATGTGTTGGCGCAGGATTTCTTTTTGGGAACACTGTTGACTCAGCTTACGCTTATTTTAAACAGAGACCCTACAACCACCCACCGGTCCTTCTGCCTAGACGTGTCGCTAGTAAATCCGTGCCGATTCATGCACATAAACACAAAGCAGTTTCCTTGATCATGGGCTTGAACCCAACGTTAGTAAACAGTCTAAACATATTTATGGGAAATTTTGTAGATTTTGCAGCCGTAGGAAGGGCGTATATCTTCGGAATGCTGATCGTTACAGAGCACTTATCCAACACTTGGAACTATGTTTCAATGACCCTTGATCACAGGTGGTTCAGAGCCAACAGCTGATTGCTCTAAGTGTTTCATATAGAACGAGAATGGAGCTCCGCTGTCTGAGCCCCGTCGAAATTGATCACTTTGGACACCGTTTACCCATGTTCGGCCATCTGGTCCGACGAAGGAAAGCCAAGTTGGGATATGCTGACAAGTCCCATCTTTCTGGATACACCCATGTATGTACCGAGCTAGCAGTTGGAGAGCAAAACGGATTCAATGACCTCGCGATATATTTTACTTTACCATATGCAACTCACCAATTCACACAGGTTACCCATTCCGCTAGGTTGCATGGCGCCAATTCGATTTACATGCAGGGTAGTATTTTTCGCTTTTATTCTCTCCCAGTACCCTGGTTTATTGATTGCAATGTTGTGCCACAAGTAAACGCAAACCGATTTAGCGACGCGATAGCAATGTAATTAACTGCTCTGAATAGGAAACGTAATGATCTCACTACATCTCTATCAAACTGCCAGTAGTGTAACCCGTGCCAAAGCGAGTCTTCCTTAACGAGATTCCTGCAAAATCGGTCTAACACCCTCGGAGTTGCGCATC